GATCATCTGTTAAAATTTTCTCAATAAATTCTGTTACTGTTTGTAACATTCTGTGTGTTTTCATCAGTGACTCTTTAACCAATTTAACACTTTTCATTGGGGTGCGGGAAGAAGAATGGACTTTATTTCCATCATGCTTTGAAGAAGTACATTACATTCAGAGCTTAAATTAAACCGGAGACCAGTTGAGCTCTTTCTTACATTTTGTGTGAAATTGTAATTCCAATCGAAACCCCACATAAGTCAAGGTCCAGGACTTTATTCTAACATTTATTTAATAACTTATTGTACTGTTAATTATCTCTTTACATTTTATTAAATTTTAATATTCGTTGTTTAATTATCCTAATCATTAATTATTTTATTGTAATAATTAAGTATTTAATTATTAATTACTTTACTAGTCATTTTTTATTATTATTTATTTTTGTTTTTCTTTCCTGACAGTTCCATAGGGCTCCGCCTCTACTTCAGCAGCATGTTTGTTATCCATACCATACATTTGCTGCTATGTGGTCTGCGCACGGGGTTTATTTTTCAGGACCAAACGAAAATTCTTTTTCTTGCTCCTGAATAAGAGGGTCCTGTGTGTTCGCTTTTGAAATCTAGAAAATTTTATTCAAAACTTCCTCCAAAGTAAGGTTGCCTTTTTATGTAATTTTATATTAAACGCGAACATAAGCAAAATCACCTTCGTGTTTATTAGGTCATTGCGGTTTTGTACTGGTGATACCGTAGATGGTGATACCGTTGGCAATTTGCGGTTGATTATGAAACAAGTTCAGAGCACCGCTGTCAAAAAAAGTCTATGAATATGTCAAAGAAAGTCTATGTCCGCTGTCAAAGAATACATATTCTTCGCCGCTGTGAAAGGGCGAGAAAAAAGCTATTCGAGCTTGTAGTGACACAGAAAAAAATGATCCACTGTACGATGGCGCCATCAAGTAGCATGAAATACGTGATAATAAAGTATTTGAATTACACAACAATAGGAGCATTGGAATTACTCACAAGTGGTCTTAGGAAAACATAAGCCCTAACATAGACTGCAAAACCCTTAAATAGACGCAAGTCTGAAGCTTGAAATAATATATGAAGAATTGAAGATACATTGTTCAAGCAGAATTTGGAAAATTACACTGTACTCAAGAATTCAAAAGCATTCTTAAATATACAGGTACACTATTGTAAATACTATATGCATTATTTGCAGCCATAAGTTATCCTAATAAGCAGTATTATGGTGAATGGGTCGAGGTTGTTTGATCGGACGTTCAACTGTTTGATCATAATGTTCGTGTATGATAACCTGTAACGGAAACAAAATCTACAAAATTTGCTTATATATAGACCTCTAGATGGCAGCACCAGCAAATGGGAACATTGATTTTACCTAAAAGACAACGATGTGAAGCTAGGAATAATTCAGACTGAAATTGCATGCGATCCGGATGCAGCGATTTTTTTTTTTTTTTTTTTTTAACTAAACTGAAAAGCTTTTTTTAACAAAACAATTTTTTCACTTAAATTAAAAATTTTACTTTCGAAATACTTGTCAAAACATCCACAGACGGTAATAATAACACAAAGCAAAGAATTCCACTTTATATTAATTTTGCGTCCGAAATCTAAAAGCTGGGACGTAAAGAAATTCCTTTTTTTCTTCACACTTTCTAATTCAGAGCTTTTAATAGCTAAATATTCAGTCTGGCATTTATACCAAATATTTCGGAAGTGTTGAATTAACATTAAATACCTTACATTATTTTAAATTAAACAAGTAACGAAAACTTTCCAAGCAGAACAAAAATTCAGAATAATAGCAAACTATTACTTTTCTTTTATTTACTAAATTTTTCTTTAACACACACGGAAATATATATGTACGTAAACAATTAAAAACTTCAAATTCTTTCTTTCTACAACTTTCAGCTGCAATATCTCACGTCGCTCAGATTTCAATAAAAATTTGTGACTTTGAAGAAATATTACTAAACACTATCACGAATTACAAGTGCTCATCAATCAGCCCGTTTCTCTTTCGAGACAATTTTGAATTGTGGAAACAAGCTATTCGTATATAAATGTATTCCCAAAGAAATGCGATTATTCTTAGTACAAACATTCGTCATCAGGAGGATTTATCTTTTGGCAAGTACGAAATATGTTTAAGCAAATCTGCGTCTTCAAATCTTTGAATAAGATATATATCACGGTATAAATACATTAGAGCCAAATCTAGATTTTCTGAGGCGTTAGAGACATTTGCTTTTAACGGTAATAAAAACAATGTAAAAATGGATTCAAATAGTTGCCCTAACAATGCTAGTTAATTTACAAAAAATAAATTCGGGTACCCTCGCTGCCTTAGAGCACCATATTCAAACAAATTACGAAATCTAGCTAAGAGATTTTCTGGGTAAAATATCATCGTATTTAGTTCACCTAAATTATCGCTTAAATTCGCAAGACCCTTTCGAAGCATGGCTCCGGAATTCGTTATGTAAGCAATTTTAATATAAGCCGAACTCTATCGAAGTAAAAAAAAAAAATTCAAAGTATGAAAATAACTTAGTTTTAAACGTTAATAACTCCAGCAGCATTTCTACAAACTCAGTCTAAATGTAATTAATTTTCTCCAATTCTATTTATATTTTATTTAATTTCTACGTTATATTTATCATGGATTTTTAATTTATTTATCATTCATTTTATTTGGTTTGATTTTAATTAACCTCTAGCTTATTTTTATTTATTTTTTAAATTTTTTATAACGCTCCTGCTGGAAACTATTAAACCGTGCCTACGATGATTTATATACTCAAAAAATGCAAGATAGGAATGTGATGTGGAATACAACTTTTGCATGCTATATAAACATGAAAACAAAAGAAATGCTTCACGGAGGCTAGCAAAGTAATTCAAACTAATTCTCTTCCTTTTCTGAAACTATACAAATTAGTGGATAAGACCACCATGCACTAGCAGTTTGTATTATCAAAGTCGTATGGTGCCCAAGGGTCTTGCCAACGACAAGCGCAATCTTGCACTCCTTGCGACAATGCATTTTGTGGGCTTGTTCTGATGTTATTGTCAGACAAGTGAGGCAAGTCATAACAAATTTAGCGTCTATTTTCTTCCAACCCCACTTATTCACAAATCTGAAACTTGATTTTGATTCAGGTGATATAACTTATGACATCGGTTTCCAACACATAAAATTAAAAATTAGCCATATCGCACAAATAATTTAAGTAAAATAGTCCGATTAATTACAAAATATATTTTTTAACATTCGAAACTTATACTTTAGAATGAGAGATCCTCACTCTAAAACAATCATGGCGCAAGTATATAACCCTTTTATACTGTAAGGAAAAGTGAAGAAACCAGTTCGAAATATTTTGTTCTGTCCTTTCTTGCATCTTTTATATAAAAATATATTCATCGTCAATTCTATGCACGAGTTTTATCCTTGGGTTTAATTTTTAGATTGCTGTTAATTACGGGCATATATTAAAAATGATATAAAGATCAGATACTAATTAAGCGCGAATTTGAGTTATGTTTTGCTACATTGAAATCTTTATTCGTAAGTTATACTTACTTAAGGAACACTAAATTAACATAGTCGTTGAAAACATGAGACCTTCAAGTCACAACAACGAAATTTTAATCATGGATCATTCAGTACCTTCATAGAAACAAATTTACTAAAATTTATTATGTATTTCAGTTCATTTTACAACCCCTCTGCAATTCAGTATGCCAGCTTCGTTGAAAAGGAATAGTACTCTTAACGATACAGGAAAGAATGTTATTACAATAAAATCTAAAAAGTATATCTGGATTATTTTGACTGAAAACGGATGTAAATTTTCTCGAACTGTAATTATAGCACATATTTGCAGAACACGGAAAAGTGCATTTCTCTGCAGGCGTAACCCCCCCTGAATAATATATATATTTATAATAATATGTTGTATGAACTTAAATCCATTTAGTGCGAATACAAGTTATTACTTGCGCAATTGCTGCAAAGTTAGTTAATAATAATTTATTTCCTAAACAGTATTGATTAATTGATTATATTATCTCCTAAGTTTAATTAAAGTAGAATTATTTTAAAAGTGTGCATCCATACTGGCAAGTTATATTTTGAAAGATGTTTTGAAGTAATTTGAAAGCAAAATGTTAATAATGTTTTAACGGGGACTGGAGTTAAATCATCACGAAGAATAATATTTCAATTGTAAAAGGAAAAATTAAAACATGTAATTATTGTCATTGATCGGAAATTAGTTGACTTTTCAAGGGGAACAAACCAAACTCCCGTTCAATGAACAATAATTGATAAAAAACATAAATATGAAAGTGTTTTCGTCTTTACTCGAGTTATAAGTTAAAGCCAAACCGGCAATTCTAGTCAGGTCAAATATTTCCGCGAGTAGTTGCTACTCAAAGAACTTATTCTCATGAAGCATTTTAGTCAATTCAATTTGGAGTAAAAAAAAAATTACTGTAGAGAAATCCTGTAAAACTCGAGTAACCGTCCCCGACACTATCGCTGGAGGAAAAGCTTAGACTTTTATTGGATTTTGAATGTTAAATCACTATGAAGTCAGCGATAACAGAAATGAAGATATTCGCATTATAACTATCCATCTATTATTTACGAAGGAAGATAAAAAAAAGTCTAAGCCAAAATTTAGAATTCATGTTTCTAAAAGTAATTATTTAGAACAGCTAACTATTTAGAAGTTCCTTGCCATAATTAAAACCGAAAGTGGTTTATTGTTTACTATGAGACTAAAGAGAAAAAAAAACTATTACAAAGTCTTCAATGATGCAAATACCTCATTATGTAATAAAGAACTTCGAATACAGGATGTACATATGTACATTTTTTTGAATGTGTGTGAAAATGTTTCCTTCCTCCCTAGCACAGAGTTTTTGTTAGTTGTTAAGTGAACACCCCCCAAAAAATGTTCCAGAAGACGTCTCAGACAACAACATTTTATTACATGGAAGTACAGCATATATTGTAAAATCTATATAAAAATACACAGTTCACATTTCAAGTACGTATGAATACAGAACTCGGCCTTTTATTATTAAATACAAAATTTACTTTACAATATATAATACAGTATTATCTCATAAGGAGAGAAAGATTAAACAAAAATTAGCTTAAGTAGTCAGAAACCCTAGGAACTTGGCCGATTGTAAAATCTCGGGAATTCTGCCCTCTTTCGCAAAAACTTTAACAATTAACTCATTTGAATCTAAATGAAATTCATATATGATGTATTATCAGTGGCACACAACAGTGACTAATACTGAAGAAAACTCCACAAAATGGTAATACTCAATTGACAAACAAAAAAAAAATAATAATAACAATTAACATATGCAACTCCAATACAGAGATAAGTTCGTCATTCTGGATTAGATTTTCCAGAAACAAATGTTACAAGATTCAGTGTAACTGAAGCATTAACTGTTTTGAAAGAATATTCAGTTTTACACCCGTTGGATTTCTAGTCTGTCAGTTCAAATAATGCCCGCTGGGTATCCGTTTTAAGAGTTTTGTAAAAATTTTAATACCAAATATTTTGGTAGCATTATCCAAGCAAAACTTTCTAAAAGTATTCACATTAATGACGTAAAATATTACAATTAATGATTTCGATGAATAAGCATGGAAATTCGATGTAAACCTTGGAATACAGCAGAGGGAATGTTTCTTCATTTTGGGCAAGATTCAGGAGGTATCCTGCTCTCAAAACTTCAGAAGCGTAAAATAAGTTAAAATATTTTCCTTTTCCTCGACTCTTAGTCATCCTGCATCAATCCGTGGACTTTCAGAGCTGTAGCAGACAAGGCATACCACACATTGCTGACCGAAAATATACGAGAGAAAAATATCTTCCAGACGCCTACTGCCACCAAGAAGTGAATGAACTGAGAGATGAAGTATCTCCTAAGGGAAAAGAAAAGCATGTCAAGGTTTATAAAAGTTCGTCAAATGAAAAATGATTAAATCATTAATCGAGCCTTAACCCTTTCTATCATGTAACGACGCCCTTGACACAATCTCACATGGAAGAATGGAGAGCTCGAAAGAGTCCATTACTACAAGAGGACGAAAATTGACAGCAAGGTTGCTTGTTGGCCTGGATACAGATTACCGAAAGTAGTAAAAAATAACCTCGGAAAAGCAACTGACTCATGAAGACTCAGAAGCACGGAAAATGTTGCAATTTTTGCAAATAAATTTCAGTTTCATTATTTGTGTAACTTTAAAAAAGATGTAAAAATGAAAAATTTTGGCAAACATAAATGATGCAAAATCGTAGAAGTTAAAAGCTCTTCAGAGATAATATGTAAATTTACCATATTTATCTTGTGCATGTTTCCTTTTCTTTTTAAAACCTTGTTAAGGTTTGATTTGGTTTTGGTTTACTTGACTACAGCAAAGCAGGCGAAGGCTACCTGCCTAAGAGATGGGAATGCCCTTGTAGAGGGCTTTATAAGGGAAAATGGCGCATATGCACTTAACACATGATTGGGAAAAACACAACCGCACACGCAGCCAACCCGTTTTCCTCGAGTCAAGCGTAGGTCGAACTACCAGCTACTTAGCCGCTGGTGGGCCTTTAAAACTCCTTAGGGAGATCCAAGATTTTAGTTATGCGAAGGATGAGAATATTTTTCAAAAATATTTTCCTAATAAAAATTTAAATTATTTTTATTATATATGCAGCCTAATCTTAAAGATGCTTAATGAAGTTATCGCATCTAATGATGTATGAGCCTAAGAGAAACTTTCCCGAGACATGAGCTTTTGCCACAGGAGAGTTTTTAGCCGAAACATCTGTCAGGGTAACCGATGTCTCCGGGTATTTTGGTTTGGTGTAGTTTATTGAAATTACAGCACAGCACATTATGGCTATCTGCCTAAGGGGAGGGATGCCATTGGGGAGGATATTCTAAGGGAAACTAACTCCTATACACGCTACACATGGGGACAACTACGAAAACGCCCGTGCAGCCAGCCGGTTTGCCCGGGATTGAACTCAGGTCGAAATACCGGTGTTCAGTGCCTTTACCGCTCGACCTCGTTTGAGCTTCACGAGGTGTCAGAATGATCATCTTCATGAATAACAGATTATAGATGATAGAAGAGTGGAGATTTCTGGCGGTTACCAGAGATTAACGGGAATTGTCTTCGCCCTCCTATCAGGAGTTTATTGCAATAAAAGTAATTCAGCATGGTCAAACATCGGCGATATTATATAAATCATACATTACAGATGATTTCTGTTTTTCCTAGTGAATCAACAGTTTGGTCTTACAGAAGTTAAACGTGTTTTATAACTAACGCAATGCCAAAACATAACATTAATTAGACGAAAATTAATATCAAACAAACTAAATATAAACTAAAATTGAAAACAAGCCCGTTCGCAGGATTCGAACCTCGGAACGAACTACCAGTGTTCAGCGACTTAACCGCTCGTCCGCCGGTGGGTTCTCCGGGCATTTTGTAATTGGGATGAAAATGGTTCTCTTGTCCCTTGTATATTTCCCCAAAAGAACTGGTTTTCGCGTCAATCAACCAAAGATCTCCCGAAAGCGAAAATTGGTGGAACTGTTTCCATATACGCACTGTTGAGAGTGGGTAGTAGATGTGATACCGGTTTAACGCGCTATGTCAGCGATATTAATTGAAAACGAATCCGCCAGTAGAGGCAGTAATGTACCCATAATCACGCGTATGTTTCAAGACTTATCGCAGATATATGAAATCATGAGTAGCAACATACATCTTATACAGGGTATGAAAATTAAAGTATGCCCAGTTCAAATTTTAGTACGGCTCTTTTATTAGCGCGTATAAAACATGGACGTAAATGGACGCATTGCAGAACGTGTAATGAGAACGAAGATGCAAAGTGTCCTTAGTTGTATCAGACAAAGTACATACAGTGCATATTTATCAAATTAGCATGGTTTTCGATCTGTGGTTTTCATCTGGGCACCCTGTGTAGCGGGCATGGCCATTTGACATGTAGAAGTATGGCAAAGTTTAATAAATAAATGCCATAGCATACTACACGTAATATTTTACTTTTGAAGGGTTATGTTCTTTGTCTCACGAGTATGAAAAGTACTTTCTGAACTTTTAGTCCAATTCTCAGCAAATAATAAAACAATACAAAACAATTATGCTATATATTATCATATACAGTTTCAGAGGCTAGCAAAACAGTTAATTCTTTTCTTACGATTGCCATGTATAGATAGAAAACTGCTGGATGCTTCTGGGATGTTGTCCTCCTGTTAGTGTACGTTTTCGGTTAGTGCCAGTTTTAATTTAAGATTCTCATTTTTTAAACCAAGGATAATGAAATCAGCATATATAAAGGCCACTTTCGAACTTCGCTAAACACTTAGGGAGCCTATAGAGTACACTGTGAACAAAATTTACAAACGCCTATAAACATTCACAACAGTGAAATGTTAAAATTAATAGACGTGAAAATGAATTGGTATGATTATTAAGGATTCAGGTTAAATTAACAGAAGTATTAAAGTACGCGAGTGCTGTGTAAAGATTTCTATGGAAATTCTAGTCTTAGAAAGCTAGAAACCTAAGTATTTCAAAATTTAGCAAATATTTTAGGAATTGAAATAAACAAACCTTCTCAGACTCTTTCTCGCAGCTGGTATCGTAGACGGATCTTCTTTCAGTATGAATTTCCGACAACCTAAAACATGATTTTCCCAAAAGTAAGACCAGTTTAGCTTACGGATATCAAAAAAGAAAACCTAAAAAAAAAAAAATCAGAATTAGAATATTTGGAAAGCAGCAACAAAATAGTAATACTGCCACTGAAATTCATAATTTTTTTATGTGCATGTTATAGTACTTTGATGCATCTTTAACGAAAACATTTTATGGAACATTAAAGTTTAATGTGAAGTTTAGTCATCCTCACCTGCTTTTTAATTTTTATAGACTTTGAAAAAGCAGGAGACATGAATATTTAAAAATAGTATAACTGCACATGAAGTAGTTAAACAATCATAACATAAAACTGTAAAATAGAATGATGGAATAAAAAGTACTGAATTAATGGTATATGTTTAACATATATCTAAGCGAGGGTTCCAGCAACTTGTTGGACTGCCTGCGCATTATTTTTTATGAAAGAACTGATTTATTTACCTGTAAAGAATGACTTGAATCTCATGTTTGAGCTGCGTTATCATATTTATATATTCACACACATTCTCATCATATATTATATATACATATATGCAAGATACATAGAGTTGAATATTAATTATAACACTTGCTTTGCAATGCACGGAATATTTTTCTTGTAACATTTGTTTTTAATCAATTGAACGCCTAATTTGCAGTCTTCTTGAACACATTCTGTTACATTCTGGGTTGCAGGCAAATATATTGCAAATAAAGATGATTTGAAAACGAAAACAGAAAATAAGAGAGTCGCACTTCATATGTCAAGTCTGCATATTTTCGGAATAAATTTAATGCGATTTATTTTAATACAGACGGTCCACTTAAAACAAGGCATCCCTGACAAAACAGCAGAATAACCAGAAAGTTAAAATTGTAAAAATGTGTGGAGGTGGGAGGAAAAGGCTATTGACTGGATCAAAATTTATTCTCCAAGAAACAACGAACAGAAATAATGTTAAATTTATAAATAGGCTCCGTCTAAACTAAGAAAGTTTCTTAAGTAAATTTTTTCTATTCCCTTAAAAAAAAGGAAAAATCTAATTAATACCTTGTTTACTCTTAATCATGCAAATAGTTTCGAGCTGTAACGTCAAAATACTTCTACATCTTAAACTTTCAGCTTTCTGGTACTCTATTTGTGGTTTTCGCAGAGATCCCTTAGATATTTTATATATTCTCTATTTGTTTGCACCTATTTTGTTATTTTTTTGTTTAGTCATTACACTTATTTTTACACATTTTTAAACACATTTAAGGCTGTTTTAACAATATTTTATTATTATTTGCTTTTTATTATTAGCTAAATTGAAGAATTCGTACACACAAAAAATAAGAAACTTCCAAAGCATTCTTTAAAGCAATAAAAATATGCATCGAATCTATAAATCGCAAAATGCTACAGCAAATAAACGTAATAAGGATTTTATGATGCAAACTGACTAGCGAAAATATAAGAATAAGCATGAAAATCCAATGCTACGGATTATTCACCTCACAAGCAGCCCAAACCAGGCTTGAACTGGAATATGGCAATGCACAGGAGGGCTACTTGCCTAAACACAAGAATGCCTCCTAAGAGGAGCTACTAAAGGAAACTGGCTCATATTCACCTTTACACATGAGAAAACCTCTTTCGTCTGGGCTCGAACTACCAGCTTTCAACGGTCTTAATTCCTCGGCTAGTTGTAAGTCCTTGCATTCTACACTTCTGGTGACCTTTCGGAAATTTGGACGAATGCTGGATTTCTTGATTATGGCAAAAGACACTAGGGTTATCTACCCAAGAGAAAAGATGATTTCTTAAAGAGTATGTTAAAAGGAAAAATGGCTTGTATTCGCTTTACATACAAGGGAAACCCCACGAAAGCACTCATACAGCCGGCTCGTTCACTTAGGTCTGAACCTCGATCGAACTCCTAGTATTCAGAAATTTTATCAACTTGATTACTGGTGAGCAGCAGTTTAGAAGAAGTCCCTTCGGTAGTGAAATGTTTAAAATTTTCATGATTAAAGACTTTATTCAATGTAGGAATTTTTAAGTTTTATACTTGCAGAAAAATAACGTTTAGGCAGTCATTGAACGTAGTCGAATGCAACTGTTTAAGAACCAAGGAATCTCTCCTCAAGGGTCGTTTCGGAAGCACATCAAATAGCTAAAAGTAAATCTCAGGTGCATGTTATGTTACAGCACGTAATGAATGCATGAAGAAATTTATTTCTTAAACACAGTAGTAGGTCTCGGTGGTTAACTGTAGCAACGCACTGAAAGGCAACCTGTCTTGATGGCAATATTTTAGAATTCTCAGATGTAACGCAAGAGTGGTGCATCTTTTTACCTTTTATCTCCTATAAAAGGAAAATTATTCTTTTTTGATCGTTTTATAAACTTAATTAAAATAAGCAGAGGAACTTCAGTTCTCGCAGAGGGAAGCTTTAAACCTTTCATCATTATATGATCATATATCGCATTAAAAGATGTTGGATAACTTTGTCCCACTACCTCTGAGAAACTACACTTAAGCGAAAAATAATTAAATTGTACTATATACAATAGGAACGCGTCGTACAATATAGAAAATACACTGGTGGTTAAATTTTCATATTGAGTTCCCGCTTAATGATATTAAAACTCTTAGCTTAAGCTCGCCAGAAGCCGAGTAGTAATAATCACTGAACACTGGCAGTTCGAATCCCGCGAACGGGTTGGCTGCATGGCTGTTTCGAGGTTTTCTCCGTGTATAACAGCCAGTTTCCTTTAGAAAGTCCTCCACGAAAGCATTCCTCTCTTCCGTGTAGTGCCTAAGGGCGGAGCAAGTAAATAAAAAAACAACTTGTAGCTTTGCTAGTATAAACTCTTGTTAGGATTAAGAAGGGATTAAGTTCGGATTTAACTCCCGCGATCGCTGATTCTTAAGCCAGAGTTATGAATGCATTCTAACAGTAGGATAATAATAATCCATTTCTAGAGGACACTTACAGGATGATGCAGTAATCTTAATAGGTTTATCAATGTATGTATTTTTTGATGCAAGCAACAAATAACGAACTAGCAATCATTAAAATGGTTACCAGCTTTAAGTTCCCATGCATAGGAAAACTAAATCATTTGGTAAAAAGTAAAAAAAACAGCGCTTCCCTACACACACGTACAAATTTATTCTGTAAATTATTGCTGCTAACTAATTTGCAATATCATTCAAATTCAGACAACATAGGTAAATATATGAAAACTATAATAAAATCCAAAAGATTTTAAGAATTAAAATTTAATTTGCGCAAAGTGAATAATTGTTGAACAGGCAGTTGTCTCCAAACCTAACTTTTAAAGCACTCACAATTCGGGTTTCGTCATCCATTTTAGGCATGGGTTAAGAATTACACAAAACCAAAAGTAGCGAAATGTTTTAAATGAGATTTTTTTTTTTTTCGTTGCTATTGTTGAGAAATTTCTCATTTAAACATTTCATTACTTTTGGTTTTGTGTAATTCTTAACCCATGCCTATATCGATGACGAAACACGAATTGAGTAATTGAAGATTTAGGTTTCGAGGCAACATACCCTTGAAAATATGTCTCTTATCTGCTCAACAATTATTCACTTTATGCAACTTAAATTTAATTTTAAACAAATTTTTAAAGTTTTTAAGATGAAATCGTTGGATTGTATTATATTTTTCATGTATTTACTTGTTCCTCCTTTATTTACTTATGCTTTAGGAATTTGAATTGATATTGCAAATTAGTTCGCAGCAATAATTAATAATCTTATTTTTTTGCAATTTAATTTACATAAATTAAAATTTTAATTTGCTTTTAATGAATAAGATAATATTGTATTTGTTCAATTCATTCTTTGCAGCGCATTGGTGCAAGAGAATTATTTAATTTTATTTAACTTTACCAATTAGTTTCTAATGAAACTATATACTGAAACATTTGCACCCCACTTTAAACACAGCTGTTCCTCCCCCCCCCCACGTCCAGCCAGTATAGTGATAAGTGACGTTAACCACCGTGTTGGCTTCTGGCCCAGGTATATGCAATAACCATGCGGAATTGGAATGCCACCTCAGGAGTTTTTACTCTCAACCAGCTACAGCCCAGGGATCCTGTCGAGCAGCTTAGACTGCATTTATTGAATGAAAGTTAAAATTATAATGTTATGCACATCAAATTTAAAGCTCATTCACCAATGATTGTAGGTAATACATGAGATGCATTACATTCAGTCAAAACTCTCAATAGCACAGCATAATTTGTTACAAAACATTACGAAATATCCCATTACACAATGTTACGTTACAGGCAGAGTCACACACAATGTTACATTACAAACATATTGTCTTCCTACTGAAACAAACAAAATATGCTTATAGTCTATAAGATGCAGTTCAATATTAGTTAATCCATAAATTAGTAATGGGAAACAAATTCACAGGTTGTATCCAAATAAGTGAGAAGGGTAAATATGAATGATGGTATTTTGCTTATATTATAGTACCAAAATATTTACAGTGCAAATATATAATCTTAATACGTAGTATCTTAATATAATTTTGCATATAATCTTAATTACATAGTATCACGGCAAAATTTAGACGCGCTTAGTATTTAAATTAGTTTGCAATACTCTGGATTCAAACACTTAGTACAGATATGAGAGTGTCTTAAAACTGTAACTGTTAAAATTACTGAGTTACTTATACAATGTATGTCACAGTAACACTTGCTCTTATAGTGTCAAACCTAAAGCAGTAATAGCCTCATCTAAACTAACTTACATAAGTTATGCTTAATTTATAGACATTGTAAATTTGTGAACCATTGCATGCAAAGGTTATTACTAGGCTGTCTTAAATTTTTTTTACTGTCTCTGCAAGCAGGAGAATACCAGGTGGTCAGGGGTCATCTTCCTTCCCACACTCGAAGTTTCCATCCACTCTTGACTCCAAACCTGCTATGGTAGAGTGGGAAGGGCCCATGCCCCGTAAGGTAATGTGTAATCCCATTCAGCTTGCCGCCTATCCATTAGTTTATGTTTTAGACGTTCAGTTTCCTTTTCCTTTTATGTATAAAATGTAGCCTTGTTTAATGCAGCAGAAAGTACTTCGCGGGCTTTCCATCCATCTGTATATACACCATTAATGTCCATAATCTCTTGTGTCCTGCTGTGGAGTATAAACTCCTCTACATTGCTACGTGCTGGATGATCAGGAGTCAGAAGCAATCTATGTTGCTCATAATCAGTGTGGATGGAGGTATAACCTCACAGGGTCACCGTGTGTTGTAATCTGCTAACATGTGCAATATCAGCCTCTTCTTTCGACTGCAAGATCCAGTATAGACGTATTTGCCAGAATCTACAGAGGCACCGTCGATGTCATGCGATATGTTCTACATACCAGTAACAGTTGTTGGTGTTGTAAGGAGAGTAAAATTCATCTCGCATAAGATGCGAGTCGTGTTCCTCTCGAGCGGTTCATGGAGGTAGGAAAGGGAGGAGGGGCCAACCCGCGCTAAAAGGGAAGCACTGCTTTGAAGCTTGGGTCACCAGATGGGGTGTTCTTTGTTTACATTCAGAAGCTCGCTTGACAAGATTCTGATAGTATTTCGACACACGACAGTTCCATAGAAATCGAAAAAGGGACACTTTCGCATGAAAGAAACATTCATAGTGTGATGGATAATAACAATTTGTATAGTTTAGTGACATTTACGCAAAAATCACATCTTGGTTATTTTTCGATAACAAGAGCGATTTTGATTATGAATTTGTTTTATAAAATTCTAAGCTATTGCACTACAAAAATATAGATTTTAAGAAAAATGTTATGCTTAAAGAATGAAAAATACCTTACAGTACATTTAAACGAAAAATATAGTGAATGCACAGAAATTAAAGATTTGCACATGCCGGAAATGAAAAATAGGAAATATGTATGGGTATTTATGCATGTGCTTGCAAAAAGCATGCATCTGCCTTTGACAAAATACTTAAATATTCATTAAATTATTTATAAATGTATTTGAAATGAAGAATTTATTCACTTATAAACAACTGTGAAAGTACTGTGAAGAAATCTAATTATTAAATGTATCTAATTTATAATGATTATAAATGCTATCTAAATATATAATAAACTTAATATTGAATTGTAAACAAATTGAAATCCTGTTGACAAATACGTTATAAAACTATTTAAGCAAGAATTTTTCGTATTGGAAAGCAATCTGTTAAAAGGTATTGCAAAGCAAATGCTATGAGATGCGCACTTAAGAACGTAATAAAGAGTTTTGGAATATGTATTGTTGAAATGAAGGGTAAAAAAAAAATCTGATAAGTATAATTAAAAGAATTATTCCCCTTACATTTTATAACTCAATTACAAGTTTTAAATAATACTTTTAAAGTATTTCGCTAATTCCTAATAATTCTCTAATTTAAAATGAACCGAATAGAGCATTAATTATAAATTGACTTACATTTTTCGATTTAAAAGATGCCTCAGAAGCCAAAAAATCATGTCATATTTAAGAAAGTATTTTAGGAAGAAGCTCTATAAATAGAAAAGAAATAATGCATAATTTTAATATTAATAATACAATAAACTTTGATCTTAATTTTTGTACCTTAACCGAACAAAATCGAATTACCTTAATTTTTTTTCTAATGTAATTAACGAAAACTTGTGAAAATATTTCATTCAAATTAAACCATCCTGAGAAAACTGTCCTGTGAAAAGTATAGTATTTAATTCCGTTCAGAATGAAATGTTTAAAAATATGTTGTTTTCACATACTTAGGACTCTGAAGTGTTGTAGAAAAAGAAAATATATACATTTATATGTATATTTACGACGTAATTACAAAATATTTACATCCGAACGCGTCAAATCCCATAGAACTCAAAGGTAAATGACCCAATGTTTTGGTCACCACGTAGGGATCGCCGGTGCTTCAGAGCAGGGTACGAAACTTGTTTAGGGCGACTCCATCTTACTTCCTACCTCCATGGAGCGGTTAGTGCAAACAGAAGAGGGGTGGGATACCTACAGACCACGCCCCGGGTGTTCTCTCTCAAAAATGGGACAGAACTGTATAATTAGTGAGATGAGACTATACCTGTTTGACCACGGGTGAAATTCTTGTGTTCCGCCCTGTTCTACCTATAACTGTACTGAACGTTTGATATTTTATCCACTAAGATCTCTCGAGTTTTAATGAAGTATGATAATGTCTCCGGCAAATACTCACCTTCTAAAATTAATATCCCATAAGGGGAAATTAAATCTTAGCCAAAAAAAAAAAAAAAAAAAAACGACTAAGTTACAAATAGATAAGGAATTTACCTCCTGATCCTCAGGCGGAATTTTGTCGTTGAGCATGAGGACGTTGTCGCACTGGAATTCCCATTCTCTTGTCGTGAAGTATTCCAGACACTGGGTGGCCTTGTGCACTTTTTGATATACTCGCATCATCCTGCACATAAAAAATTTCTGCTCTAGAATGTTCTTCTCTCAGACTTACGTATAACCAAATAAACAGTTTTGAAGGTCTATAGTTATTTGCATTCAAGTGAGATATAGAGAGTATTTAAAAAACAAAAGGAGTAAAAATTTACAGTTTCGTTTCCTTTTCCCCTTTAGTCTCTCTCAGTTTCCCCCAATTACAATGCAGGTTTTTAATCTTGAAAATTTAATATTTAATTACATGCGAGAAAAAGAGTTACCATAACCATGACGAACTGTGCATACTTTTTCTTCCTCCTTTAAAGTCTAGCCAGCGATTTTATAAATGAGAATCGCATAGAAACTTATAGGTCGCTAAAATATGAAATGTAACCTTGCATTTTTTTAAAGGCTCGAATTCTGCGGACATGTAAACATTCCTTTGCCCACGTAACTCTGAACAGAAAAGAAACTCCCAAAGGAAAATAAACGTAATCTTTCACAATTCATGTAATAATGTAGAATGAACAGGTTTTGCATCATGAAGGTATTAAAACTATACTGCAAGTGTAGCTTGACAAGGTATTCCGTGAAAATAAAGTATTCTTCACATAGGCTTGAAAATATTGATAAAAGCGTTATCCATGCAGGCTTGAAAGAAAGCTCCAGTTTAGTGAGAATTAATCTTACAGCTTTCGCATCGCTTATGATTACACATAAGTTATTTCACGTATATTAAACAGAATAATTCACCAAAATATTTTGCAATAAAAAGTAAGCCAGCTGTACAAATTGAACGGAGTATTCGTAGAAACGCGTATTGTATTTATAAGAAAAATCACTGTAAACACAATTTTAGTGTTTTGCAGAATAAGATTATAAAGAAATAATATTTTATTAAAAAACTCAGGTGCATGTTTCTTTTGTGCACTAGAGATAGAAGTTGATATGTATATTGTAAATACTAAAATTTGATTTGCCTCTACGCTGTTAAAGAGTCAACTTCGATTTTTCTTTTGTGTACGTTGCGCTTGAGTGAAACGGGAAAATGTTTCGTTTACGCTCACTGAAACTCTTAAGCGAAACTTACCGTTTATCTACCATCTAAAGGGCGATGAGAGGCAGTTGTAAATTTGGAACTTAACTTACCTTGAAAGCTTTATTCAGTGCATATCAAAAACCTGCATGAAATATTGGCTACTAAAACTACGTACCTTAATATATATTAGACACTTGCAGGCTCAAATTTATGGATATTTACATTTCTTCAATGTAATATTTTGTAAATAAAAAAAGCAATCTTTCTCCCCTTTTTCAATTTAATGTAAAACGGAGACAAAATTAAACTGGCCATTTTTAAAGAATTTTAATTTTTCAAGTTAAATAAAGACGGAACTGCACTTGCGCAGCTCATCGCGAGTATTAAATATTTTTCCGATATGAACAACGGCCTAACTGAGCGTCGTAACGTGATTTCGTCAAAATTCACACGCAGAAAGTCCGGATAAATGCAATTTTGAACAGTTGTTGAGTCAGCGACGCAGTTTTTTTATAACAAAGGAAATTCAACTTTTTTATATGCTTGATTTCATATAACACACAATAATAAATAACTGAAGAAAATCATACAAGACGAATATATTGCCGTAATATATCTTTCACAAATTAAATTTCTGGACGTATTGAACATGAGGCCTTATTAAACATGCCGGTTGAACATAAACGTAACTCTACGCTGACGCCCAAGTAAGATAAATTGGAAGAAAAGCATCTTATTTTTAATATTCCAGATGCAAAACCTGAACACACATAATTTTACTTTTGCATTAAAGGTGTTAGGGCTAACGTAAGTATATAATTGAACACTACTTTTCAGCTGGGAAACCTCTAAGAAACATTTATTAACAAAATACTTCCTTACGGTAACTTGAAACCTAAAGTTATGTGAAGATTATTTAATGACAAGAAAAACTGCTGATAAAATCTTCTATAAATAAATTGCAAGAAAATGTATCCGGTTAGTTTCTCTAATAAAAAAGAGAAGTTTTCCGCCAGACAGTAATGTCATGCACGTTGTGCGTTTCCTTTTCCATTCACCAACAGCTTCGGACATTTCGATAATTAAAAAATTATTGAAAATCTCTGCAGCAGTTCCCAATACTTCACTGACGATTCAGCAATCAAATCAAGTACTGAAATCTGTTTTCCATGGAATCAGCGGATACTTCTGGAAAGCTATCTATTTCAGCAAGTGCGCCACAATATCGATCATTGTGTCGTAGGAACGTTGTTCTACTATGAAGGCTTTCTTTCCTTAAGATTTCTGGAAAGAAATTGTAGGGAGTTCAAGACAAGCCATGGTAACTTTTTTCCTCGTGAAATTACTCAATCGGTTGCCACATTCATCTTGAAATTAGTTACATATTCTAGTTATCTTCTTTAGGTGGAATAGGAAGTATACTTCAGATTGATGGTCTTTCATTTATATATATACACACCAAAGAGATATATATATGTAACGATATACAATTAGATCAGAGAAAGAAAATACATTTGCCTTTCAATACATAACTATAACAAAAAACAAGATATGCTCATTAATAAGTTAAAGGATTAATTATTTTCTTTAATTTATATATTTATACACATACTTTAAATGGGAACAATTAATTGGATTACAATTGTAGTTTCAAAATAAAACTTACCCAGGTTTCTGAAAAAAGAGATATGCCATGAGATCTACAAACAGAGCTGGAAGATAGTGTTGAAATGCTATACACATGGTGTTGATGGTTTGATTTCGACGGAAACTACCTTTGGGATACCGGAAAAGTTCAGCGCTAGGATACTTGAGTAGGTATGGATACGTCACTGCCATTATATCATCCCATGTAGTTTTGTTTAGTGATCCAGAGGTGCAGTTGTATACCAAGATGCTATTCGGTCTGCAAAAAGAATGGAAATTTAATTGTCAAAGCTTGCGTAGAATATTATAACAAGCTTTGGAGAAATTCATATGGGGAAATGCGGCCGATATACGACTGAAAAGGAATACGTATGTTTTTCGAGGTAGGTTACTTAAGTAAGGCATTCGATAAGACGCCTACATTTCATGTTCCAGATTTATTCCCCTTCTAAATATCTTCCCAATTTCTTCCCGGTAGCAGAAATGTTTACTCATTTCACTACATTTTAAATTTAGGGGAATTATAAAATTATACGTGCATAAAGAATTTACGATGATATGACACGCCAATTAGCTGATAAATATGAACTAGCTAATAATTTTGGAAAAGTCCAAGCTTAAAATTAAGTTTTTAAATACCGTCTTTTAACAACTACCGAACTTAAAATTTTAAGTCTTCTTAATATCAGAAAATTTATAAATTTTTTAGTTTAAATACGTGAAATACTTCCAAAAATTATTGATAGTAATTCAAGTTGAAAGATAGTTATTAGTTTTGAAATATGTGGTTCTTAAAAGTAAACATAATGGCATGTTTAATGCAAAAACTATTCACAGTGAAAGAAATGCAAAACTATAATCTTGAAAACATCTGTTAAATATTGAAAATTTAACACTTGAAATAACTTTATTGTCCGTAAAATTACTCTGGAAATATATAATCTGATTTTACGAGGAAACGCAGACAATAAAATAAGTGAACTGACCTTTGCGTAGCCGTGTACCACGCAACTGCGATCATAAGGTTAACGACCACATCCACAGGTATGATATCAGCGGTCACTTCACCATGAATGATCATAGTTCGCAGAACGCCCTTGCCGCCCTGGAATAAAAATATATTTAAGGACCATGTTTTGAAGAACTTTTTTCTTTAAATACTTTTAATGGTACAAAAACCAATACAAATATTACAAATACTTTTTAATGGTTTCCACAGCTCGGTATTTCCTGATTTTCAGCTTTTAATTCCTCTATTCAATGCATACATCTACATATGTTATGTACATCCTGTTATTCGAAGAAAAATTATTACAAGAATTCCCCTTTCTCATTCACCTTTATATAATGGATGATCCATCTCAATCATAAAAACATTTAATGTTTCTAAATATATTTTGCTTGAAAGCTGCTACATTTATTCAGTTTCCCTTTTACTGCAGTAAACGCAAATACAATAATTACTAGAAATTATTTGCAATACAGAGCAGAAATTTAAGATTTCTTCTCAATGGACATCGGGTTGAAAAAAAAACGTTATACTAAATATTTTTAACTAACTATTTAGGTATTAGTAAAATGTTTATTTTTAATTCACTGAAACATCTTGTGCATACTTACCGCGACAATTATTCCAGCAGGACCATTCAGATTGTCGATCCATCCCTGAAAATTTTAAAAACGTTAGATTAACATGAGTAAAAAGTAGGTGTGTCAGCTTTCGTATGATTATCTTTGAATATTTAACATTGATTTATAAACGCGATATGCATAAATGGTTTTTATTGTACAAATTTTTACTTATTAATAATTAGTTACCGGATAGGGCTCTTTCCATGCAGCGCTGACAATAGAAGGCCGAACAATCGCCACTGGCAGAGAACCACATTCATCAACAAGAAGATTCTCCGCTAGTGCTTTGGTGAAAGTGTAAGTATTCGGTCGGTCTCCTATTAGTTTTGGTGTGATTGAATCTAGTAACGCTGGTTCCATCCATCTGCAAAAAAAGAAATCAATTATTACAAATTAAATTTGTTTCTTCATTTAGTTTTTGTGTTTTAATTTATTTGGACAAATATATCTCTAAAATCATTGGAAATGTCTGAAGCCTCGAAACTTGAATAATGGACAATACCCTCAGTGGGATTCCAGAGTAATTGCCAAAATAATATTAAACGACTGTATAATGAAATATGAAGCATTCATATCTCTTTTTAGCTGACTATGTTATTTCGAAAAATAGTGTAAAAAGTAGCGCTACTTCACAAGTTCTATTTATGGCTTTTTTACATGTTATTGAGCTATTTATATACTGCATATAACGAACTGCTGAAGCACAGAGCTAAAATCAATAACAGAAAACTATACTTCGTCTAGACTTACTAGAATCTTAATATGGCAACTAGAAAAAGGGATAAATATGCGTCCGATTGGAAAATTTCGTTTACTATTTAAGAATTAAAAATATCTGTACATATTAGGCGGCAGGTTAGGTTACGTTATTTGATGGTGGTGGTGTATTTATATATGGCAAAGCACTATCTGCCTAAGGGGAGGGTTGCCTTCGTGGAGGACTTTCTAAGGGAAACTGGCTCGTATACACGTTACACATAGGGAAAACCACGAAAACGCCCATGCAGCCAGCCCGTTCGCGGGATTCGAACCTCGGACCGAACTACCAGTGTTCAGCGGCTTTACCGCTCGGCCGCTGGTGGGCTCGTTACGTTATTTGAATAAGTTAAAATATACCAGGTCTATCTACTTAATGGGATGATTGCTTTCACGAGAACTTCCTAAGAGAAACAGATTCGTATCCACGTTACACTTGGGTAAAACAGACCATGCATCCAGCCCGTATTCCTGGGAGCAAACTCTCAGTATTCAGAGGTCTTAGCCACACGGCCGCTGGTGGGGTTCATGTAAAAGGCTAATTACAAAGATCTCTCAAAATGTCGCGTAAAAATCGTAAAAGTCTTCTAAAAAGAATCACACTTAAAATTAGCATTTAAAGAATTTGGTGTAAAGAGGGCGTTCAGCAAAGTTGCAGATTATATACTTACTCTGTCGCTTCTATGATTTGATTTGGAGGAATTGGAGCAGGATAGACAACTTCGTCTACCTGTTTTCTGTTGCAATTTGCGTACGCTGTCGACACATGAATCACAGCCTAAAATATGCCAAAAAAAAAAAAAAAAAAAAAAAAAAAAAAAAAAAAAAAAAAGTCTTAAGAGTCATTGATTAATGGATGTATGCTTATTTGCACGATATTATCACGGCAATGCAATTTAAGATGAATTATCCGGATAAACTTCAACTTTTTGTTAAACGAACTGAACAAAATATAATAAAAATCTAAAACTTACGACAATGTTTGGTAACTTATGACACAGTTCGATCATCCGCCTAGTTGCCAGAACGTTCATGTCGATAGCTTGCCTGTAATTAACACGAAATCTTAATTTGAAGCTAAAATCAAGGATATTATTCCAGAAATAAGAATTTACTTATGTTTTGATACTTCAAATAATTATTCATTCATTTAATAAAAATCATTTACATTCAAATTTCGAGCATATGCGAAACAATGCGAAATTCTTACTCAAATGGAAATAATAGACTCAAAACATTAGCCGAAAAATAGCTGGAAAAGCGTATAAACCAGCATCCATAGAAAAATTTTGATTTAAAACTAATTCCAATGAAAAGCAAACAAAATTTAAATAGTATTTTTCATGCCATTATCACATTCAAATCTCTACATCTAGGTAATCAAAGTTACTTCTCTAAAAAGGGTGAAATATTTGATTACAAATATACTCCCAAATGTACCTGACGCTTCTGGCTGATTGGCTGGTTATTTCCTTACAGCAAATGATGCGAAGGCTATCCTGCGCCTCAGAGGGATGCAGTCGTGGAGCACATTTTGCGGGAATCTGGCTCATATTTCATGTTACACAAGAATAAATGACAAGAAACTCTTTACAATTACCCTATTCTCCGAAAACTGAAGATTAAAGAAATAATTAGCAACATTTTTATTAAAAATTATCAACAAGAAAGAATTAAGAAATATCAACATTCTTTTCTTCTTAGCCGCTGGTAGACTTAGCTGGTTCGGAAGTCACTGGAGAATTTACTCGAAAGCTGTAGCCATACAGAAGTTTTCATAATATCATCAAGAAGTTTCAAGGCTGGCTATTTTGCTTCTTGTTTCTGGTCTCAGTTGAAGATACAAACAGCTGAGACCATTACAGCTGAGACTGCTAGAAAAAAACCATTTTCTAGCAGAGAATTTTTTTTTTAAATGCATAGGTCTTTTTAGGATGCAGGAAAGCAAGTTTTCTGTGATAATATGCCAAGTGCGTTTAAAAATTAGTTTTCAAGAATTTAGGTAAATGAAACACAATTTAGAACTTGCAGCATAGACGTAGAAATTAAAAGGCTTCAGCTTTCCACTATATACGTAAACTGCGCTCTGAAGCTGAAATAACTAAAACTGATTAGTTTTAAAATTAAATCAGTTGCATTACTGAGCATAACATTTTCATAGAATTCTGCTTAACTGAGAAAAGATTAACTAGGAAAAAGCAAACTAGGGCTATCTAACTAAAGGTACAGATGCCTTCTTCGAGAATTTTCTTGAAAGTATTGCATTTACTTTAACACGCGGCAAACCACGAAAGACCCAGGCAACTAATCAGTTTAATAGCCAGGAAGCAATAGAATTTTGGGGTACAGCTTAGCGGCTTAAGTTTCTCGGCCATCGTTGTCCGTCATTTAACCGGAAGAAAGAAAAGCAAATTTCTTTTCTATTCCTCATAGATTGTTAGATTAGGTTATTGGAATTCAGCAAAGCACACGAGGGCTATCTGCTTAAAGAGAGGAGGAACTTTCTATGGGAAACTGGCTCGTATTCACGTTACATATGAAAAGCAAGAAAGTTAACCAATGCAACCAACCCTAGTTCGAGCCCGGTCGAGTTACCAGTATTCAGACGTTTTCACCGCTAGGCCACTAGTGGGGTACCGTTTCTCATAAACTGCGAAACAAACTAATTTTAGAAGAATAGGGATAAATCTTTTCAGAATATTTCTAATAAAATTTAAGTGTGGATGTGTTTTGAAAGTTTTAATGAGCAGGAAATTTTACAGCCTATAAAAGTGTTTCGTTAGGAGATGACAAACTGCCAGAATAACTTACATATTTGTAAGAATTTTTAACAACGTTATGAAATACTCAACAGGATGACGTACATTTGAAGTAGTTGCAATCCACTTTCCAAAAATAAACCTGAAGTTTAAAGTATTACTGGCCTAGCAGGAGCCAAATAGCCACTAGATATTTAAAAAAAAAAGTAGCAGTTTCTATTCGAGGTCAATGAATTAGCTACATCTTTATATGTAAAGTGAATGCGAGACAGCAAACTAGCCATTTTAAGTGTCCTTCACAAAGCTATTCCTCTTTTCCCAAATAGCTCTCGACTGCTTTGCTTTCTGTCAACTTGCAGGGATACTGGAAATGCTGGAAACTTCATTTTCTAGTTTTACAAACATGTTGAATTTAGCTAATTGCTAATCAGTACCTTTTCACTTGAAATCAGTATCAAACAAGTCTGAATTTTCATACTGAAGTCGCCGTGTATAGTTTAACATTTCAATTTCCTAGGTGATAGAAGAGGATATTTCAATTTCCTAGGTGATAGAATACTCCAGAATACATTACATATCTGCATTTTTGTGCTTTCTTTCCTCAGTTTCGCATACTTACTTTAGAGGTTCGTCAAATTTGACTGTGGCCGCTGAATGGAAGACGATAGACACGTTTTTTGCCATGGCTGCAAGATCAGCAGGAGACACTCCCAGCTGAGGCAATGAAAGATCTCCTGTAATGCCAATTACTTTTTGAATAGCTTCGGGCTTCTCTTTCTTTAAACGATCAAATACCTAAAAATTTTGAAAAAAATCACATTAAGGTTTTAGCGCTCAGTTAGGTTGCATGTAAAGTTCAGATTGTAACTATTTAAGCTCAAAGCCAATGAAAATTTTGTAGCTTTTGAACTATTTGAAGATTATGAAAATAGTTGATTATAGATAATGTAGCATAGCATAACGTAAAAACATAACAAAAGCAAGAATTGCCCTTATCTTCCCTTTGGTAATAATAATTTCATGCATCCTATTTATACAATATGTCAAGATTCCTCTGAATTTGTTTCCGAGGATATTCAAAACAGGCGTTATGAATTTATAATTGGTCAATAATTATTGTTCGTAATATTTATGTCCACTTCGCTGGCGCCAAGCCAATTCCGTCGAAACTAAAGCTTTTCATAAGATTGGTCATACTGGAGGAAAGGAATGTTACCTTCAGATTCCGTGCGGTGCGAAGGTTTCATTGAAAATTAGGATGAAAATAAGTCGTACAACCACTACTGGTACACAAGGCCTAGAGCCAACAACAGGCATATGCACACATTCATTTGTCTTCGCGAAGACTGCCGGCGTGAATAACTCTGGGATCGAGAATAAGCAGTTGCAATAACAGTTCTGTTTGAAGTTAAAAGATTAAATAAAAAAGCCATTTTGGTACATACAGTTCCATTTTCATACTTCTACGAAAAATCGCCAATTAATAGGCGGAAACCGTATGTTTGGCTATTTTTACGGCTCATGAGTTATTTGGCTTCCTTTAAGGATTATTCTGTTCACAAATAAAAAAAAAAGCCGTTTATTATTTGAAACAAATTTCATAAGGAAAAAACAAAAATCTGTACAGTTAATCTTTTTACATTTTAATAGTCAGCGGAAACTGTTTAGAGTAACGACTTTAAAGCATGCAAATCTGGGTGTATTTAAATACGTTGTATTCCGCGCATGCATGAGTTATTTTCTGTAGCGTGTATACTTGAAAATAAGCCAAAAAAGGGCAATACTATAGAAGGGTGAAATCAGGAGAGGGGGATGTAAATAATCAGAGAATACCTCAATTTTTGGAGCAAAATATACGAGCTTATTTGTTTCAGGAGAGCGAATGCCATAGTGGAGGGACTTTATATATTAGAGAAATTCACATTCTACACATGAAGACAAGGTACTTTTGTAATATCCCGTCGACCATGAAAGTGTTGCCAAGCAGCGCGATTTGGCGTAAGGTTTAGATAAGCATGATGCAACAACACATACATAACATCTGCGCTTTCGCTTGATGTTAACTCTGATCAATTCTCGATAAGCCACCTTTTGTTTCTATGAACAAGGGTATAAGTATACTTTTTGCCGTATGTTTTATTACATTAAAAAAAAGCGGTCTACAGAACAGCAAACGGTCGATTATTTTCAATAGTTATGGAATGATAAAGGTGTGCGTTATTAGATACTATGCGGTCAGGTGAATATAGCCGACTTAAAACAGTAATGTATTGGAACAATTACCTGAAGGAAGTTTGTATTCCTACCGTTCTAAACACAGCATCCGGTGAAATCGGAGGTAATAGCAAAATAGTAGATATCGACATAAGCACAACAATCTTTTTGCGAAGCGGTAGAGTACTGAATGTTTATTAAAATGAGCAGTCAGTTTCTTCAGAACTCTTCAGGAACGACAAGATTTTGGCAAGAATCTCTGCCGACTTTTGAGGTTTGTAGTAAATTTTCGTGGTCGATGGGATAAAAAAATAACAAAATCCCTCTTCAGTCTTCCCTTTCACAGGAAATAGAATTGTGGGGCGAAGTACCGGTGTTTTCACTTGTTCATTTATTTAATCGGCTGCTGTTGGCAATAAAGAACCAAGGGAGATTAAAAAAATCATCCCCATAATAGCAAAGCATTTTCGTCGCGCATAGCGACCACCAACAGTAATCAACTACGAATATTAATCTTTCGTATGGTCACTGCTTTAGCACTAGGCCGTGAAAATGGAGTTAAAAAGCATATTAGAACGTTTATTTCGCATTCAGAAGAAATGGTTGACACATGAAAGAAGGAAACCATTAGCGCAGATCATAATTTACTGCGCCACAGTTATCTCAATACCTTAATTATCAACTTCTTGCTTCAACAGCCCTCCAGATATGCAAATCGAGCTCCAGTTTTATTAATGTTTGGTGACATTTCTATGCGAAATTTTATGAGTGGACTTTTGCTAAATGGAATAAGGAAGAATATCTGGAATACATCATAGCCGCCTCTATGTGCATATTTGCAACTACTATTACAAACTAAACCTCTACCGTTTCTATTTACCTTCCTGTTATCCACTTCATTCAGCTATATTCTAAGTTAATAATACCCTTACTAAATTCATATAATAGTAGTAAAATATTTAGTAAATGATGCAATGAGCAATCTACAAATTTCACTTGAAATCTTTCAAATTTTTTATTCATATAGATTTATTCTTAAACACTAATTTCCAAGCTCAGTTAATCACCGCTAATTCTTTCATGAATTGTTAAAAATGTATCAAGCTAAAAGTAGTTCAAATAATACGTCAAATTAGCATTGAAGCCGTTAAAATCATACCGACCTTGCAATTCAGAAGTTCCTCGAGGCGCAGTCTTGGTTCTTTTCCTTTTTTCTCTCTCATTAGGATATAAACATACTTGATTCCGGGACATGAACGTAGCAGTTTCTCCAGTAAGACCTAAAACAAAGAACATTGTAAAATATGAAAAACAGCAAAAACAATATATTTTATATCGTTAGTTCAAGTGCGACAGATCTTTTATAGCAGAATTTTAATTTGTTTATATACATAAGTAACGAATATTAGCTTTCTCTTTTAGTTAATTTTATTCACTCACGTTTTAATGGGAATTTTCGAGATGGATATTTAAGAAGATCAAAACAATGAAAAATGGTATTAAGCTTATTCCTTAAATATGAGAGAAAAAATCACTAATCCTAAAATTTTTTAAATTGCATAGGTAGATAAAGAAAATCGATATTACAAAAAAAGCATACCCAATCAATTGTGTACGCGACACTACGCTCTGATAATTTGCTTTCACAAGCTTTATTTTAGTGTCCCATCATTTAGTTATAGTATCATTTAGTTGAGACTTTTTAGTTCCATTACCATTCATTTATTCATTTCATTGTTTAGTTTTAGTTACTATAACATTTAGTTTAATATATCTAATCCTGTACTTTTCTGAATTCAACAACATGTGTTCGTAATTATGGCTCTCAGCTTCTCAATCTTAATGCTTAAATCCAAGTTGTTTAATAATTAGTTCGGTACTTACGTGTTATTGTAAACATCTGGGAAGAAGTCGCTAAACTTTCAGAATACACCAGACTCTGGCGACCATGCGCATCAACATTCTTCAGGCAACCATGCGCATAACAATTCTTCAATCAAGCAACGTCGCTATTTTTATATGCGTTCTTTTTGTATGCCATGTTCCAATAATTTTTGTAAACAAATTGTGATATTTTTTGCCGTAAACTTAATTTTCAAATATGGACTTCTGGAATTTGCCAGAAATGTAAGAAACTGCAATAAAATTTCTGCAGGAATATAGAATTTCGCTGCAAAATTTCTAAAGGAAAATACCAAGGAGATATATTGGTATAGTCACTATTGCCGAGGTTTGCGGGATGTCGAATCTCTGCAGTTCGCTAGCCTTTTTTAAGCGAAAACAGATTGCTGTGCACTCAGGAAGAGAAGTAGTGCAAAAAAATTTACAGAAAGATTTGGTGAAAAAAATATAAGTGTTTCATTTTTTTAATGTATCATGTAATCCTTATTTAATAATTAAAATTTGTATTTTAAATTGCTAAAGTATATTTTCTTTTCATATGTTTATAATGTTTGCTGACTTAGGATAAAAATATTGATAGTTTGGAAACCTTTTTTAAAAAATAGAGAAAAATCACCAACCTGCCCCCTTATAAGTAACTTTTACCCTTTCATCTGTAAAACATCGTCAGATTGCGCAGGGTGGTTGCGTTAATACGTAAGTACCATTAGTTCTTGAACTACAGATCAACATGAAAGATGACCAAAATTTGTGACTAAAAATTTATTTTAATAAAAAAATTAGTTTTAGTTACAGTTTATTATAGTATCATACTTCTAAATGGAAAAACCGGGATTGTAAAGTTTTCAACAGTTTTAAGCGAAATTGCATTTTATTTGGCATTTAATACCTTACCTTTCCAATAAATCCTGTTGCACCAGTAATGAAGACGGAGCGCCCCTCATAAAAGGCCGGTATTGTGGGCGTCTCAAAATTCATGGCGGAGTTTTCAAAGCTCCACTACTGAGCAATACAAATGTTATACCTGTAAAGAAACAAAACTTCATACTTAAAAGTATTTTTTATATTTTGAAGCCTTACTTTTCATTATTAAAGGTCTTGTGCTTGCTATAATGTGTTGACAACTTTTGGTATTAAATATGTATTGATATTAAACTGTTTGGTAACGTAAATATCCCGTAAAAATAGATAAATTGTTATTTAGGTACAGTAAACACTAGAAAGGTACTGCAGTAAATGTACCGAGGATTCAATCGAAAAGTTACTGTTATGCATCCAAGACATGCAGCATTTTTCTTTGACGAAGTTACCATTCTGTAAATTGATTTTAAATGAAAGACTACTTTAACGAAGAGATTATTTCATTCCAGATAACAAAGAAGGTGATCTCATTTCCTGGTCTCGTGCTTGACAGAGACCATCGGGGAAAGTAAACTGTAAAGAGGACAGACAGAGGGAAAGTGGGAGAACATAAAGAAAAATATATTTCCACACTTTTCCATAGCCTGGGGGTGGGTCAAACGAAAGCGAAAGCTGCACACGTGAGTCAACGACTTTTCCTCATAGAGAAACAAAAGTTGTTTGAATCCCCTGCAGGGTGGTAAGATATCAGTCGCCCTATTTTCTCAAGAGTTTTCTTCTTTTGCTTTCGAAGAAAGAATGGGACCGGAATCTTATTAGGTGAGGAAATGAAGTTCCTCTCGGAGGTGGCAATTCATTTTTTATAACAGATAGTTTTTTCTTCGATATTAAATGTGATTGTAAAATGCTGCCCATTAAACTTGCAGCATTTTACTTACTAAACATATCAATTTTCTCATCTAATGGCCTAACTTTTCTGTGGCTAGAGTCTTTTGCCTGACGCTTTTAACTGCATTCTATTCCTTACTGCGAAAACAAATCACTGTAAAAAATCAACCTACCATTTACTAAAAAGCTGATACAACTCGCAAATACCAATTTAATATCAAACTGGAGAACTGTTCTCGGCAATGGAATAGCAAAATCCTGCAAGAACCAGTTTACTAGAAATGCGCAACGTCGAATATGCCGGGTATTATAAAAGCTGAAGAATAAATCTCATCCAATTTTGCCTCCAGTAGGCTGTAAAAAAAAAAATACGCACTTAACCCTCAGGTACACTTTACTCAGTTGTTACGCCTAAACTACTGGAAAAAAAAGGTATTTGGAATTTTCCAAATCTGGTTGTCAAAAGATATCCAAACTCAGCTACACGAAAGTTATTAGGTTACGGTTGAGCAGTTGGCTATATACTCACTAGCTTATCTTTTAGCTGCCTTTCCCTAGTGAGTGCTTATTTTTTTTTTTTTAAATCAATGCAGAAAAAAAAGTCCATTTAAAAAATAGGTAACTCAAATAAGTTTTTGTACGTTAGCCGGGCGCAAAATGATAGCAAAGAGAAATTAGATGAAACGACAGTTCTGTTTTTAACATTTATGACTATATTTTATTAATTGTTCGTTAACAGTTTAAAGCATCATATTCACATGCGAGCTGCGTAAATTAACTTACGAAACAATACTTGTTCACAATTTGTAATAACCTATACAAATATTTCTGTTATAATAATAATTAGAAGATTTGTGATTAATCCACTAGTGTGGACTACAGGCACTCAAACGCTAACAGGTATTCGAAAAGCTTTTAAGACACTTGCATTTTAACTTTTTAATGACACTAAGCTTTAGTTGCGCTTATAATGTAAAACATATTTAACAGATTAAAAAATTTAAAAGGTAAGAATTTGCGCGACTGCAGTAAGGGACATCAGAAGTAATTTTTTAGGTTCTCTATAATGACAGAACAAATAAATTTAACCATGTATCTTTTGCGCATTTTCAAGCACTCGCAAAACAATGTTAATGATAAAAATTAATTTCAATTAATTTTTTTAATTAAATTTTTGTAATTCTTTTAAAACACCAAAATATTAAAAAATATTCATTCATTACGCGACAAAATGAATTCCATTAGAGGTTCATAATGCATTAAATGAATGGAACTTGGGAAATATGAAAAAAGTTTGGATTGCATATGTTTAATATTCAGAAAAGCTTTTGAGTTAGCTAAAGTGAAATTAACAATAACCAATTTATGATACACATAGAAAGAGGCTGCAGACTTTCCAGAAATTGCCTTCGTAAAAAGCTAAGTGGCATTGATTTGTCTATTAAAAATAGGAAAGAAAAAAAAGTTCAAGCAGTCAGCCTGCTTCATAGGAAGTTGAACCAAGAGATCAAATTAACTTGTCCACTCTACCTACTGTTGAAGCCCCGAAAACGAAGGACGGCAGTAAAATATTTTGTCCTTTTTTTGATTTTGTTATTTGTCCTTTTTTTGATAACGACACCGTACAATTATAAAAAATGAAATCAATTTTTAGCTCTGCCATAGAACAGTTTTTTTACGGCACTCCAAGTGCTAATAGAAGGGCTTCGGTATACTTTATTTTCATTTTAAATATATAAAAAATATTCATACGTAAAGGAGAATCAATTTTGTTTCTAAAATTTTTAACTTGGAAGGGCGACTACGCGGACAAAACCCGCTGAACAGAGTTCTCTCACTCCGGATTCGAATTCCAGCAAATGGAAGACTACATACGTGTTTTTGTGCTTTCCCTTATATTTGTAGCGTGATTATAATTCCTCTTGGAAAGTTCTCCACAAATGTATCCTTCCCTTTAGGCAGACAACCTTTGCTTATTTCAACGAACAGTTAACCTACCCTAACAAAGTATCCTAATCTAAACCCTGATCTTTTAATGTCGATTCGTAATGGTTTAAAACTTCAGCTAACAAAATATTAAATTTGGTCTAGCTTTTTTACTTATATGTTATAATACTGAGAGAGCTGAGAGAAAAATTTTCAATTTCATGGTAAGGAAAAACATTTACAGAACTTTTGTGAAATAAAAGCACATATGTGCACGTATAGTGTGAGTTTAATGCGCGTTTCCAAATCTGAAAGTTATGTAAAATAAATTATGCCGCGTGAACGAAAGATAAATCTAAACGACGTATTTGACTATAACATTCTCTTTTAAATGAGATATGTAGATAAAATTAAAACGGAATTTATAAAACTCATGCATTTTAATTATAGCTAAAAGCAAATTTGTATTAAATACACGACGTTTATCCAGTGCATCATCAATCAATTCCTGGAAATACAGTTTTTCAAATGTATCAGTCATTAAATGAGCTTCCACAGTTAGAAGGGAGTTACTGGATTATGCTAAATCACACATGGGGTTACCTGTCTGAGGAAAAGGATGTTTATGTGGAGGACTTGCTAAGGGAAAACTTTCTCGTATTCACATTACACATGAGGTAAATCACGAAAATCAACCATGCAGCCAGCTACTCCCAATATTCAGCGGTCTTAACCACCGAAATTGGAGAGGAAAGTATATATATGATTATACAAAGAAATGGGAAAATTTAAAAACCTTTCAGCCTAAATTCTGCAAGATATCAGTATTTTTGACAGCAAAAGCTTCGTATTCTAGTAAGATAGGAATCAAAAGTTTCTGTATAATGATTTTTTTGCATTTAAGCCCTTTCCCCTTTGAAGTCAATCACTGGAACCTCGGAAAGAACCCGTTATTAAATATTTTCACATAGTGAAGCACAAGCAAGAACTTGGCATAGCCCTCGACAACTTTCCAAGTAGATCATATTTAAATCACAATACTGCTTATCTGGTTAACAGTAGTAAAATATTCGACAGCTGTCTTCCTCAGAGGGAGTGCCTACTTTGAAGATATTCTAATCATTTGCATTGCCCATTGGAAAGAATCCTGACGAACAAGCTCTCTATAGAGCGTTTCCATTTTTTTCCTCGTGAAAAATATGAATTTGAACCGGTTTTCCTTAGAAAGTTCTCCATGAAGTATTCCCACTCTTAGGTAGCAGCACAAGTCTGCTTTCTATTTAATAAAATAAATCAGTCATTCGGAAGACCAAGTAAACACTCATGAAAACAACTTATTCCAAAGGCGAAACGACAATCAAAAGAAGAAACCTAACAATTTCCTCTGTCATAGAGAACTCATACTTGGGAATAAAAATTAAAGAATGTGTTTCAGTTCCATATCAGAAGAAAGAAGAATGTAAACGGTCAACCCCTGCCAATGCATTTTAAATTTCAGTGTAAAAAAAAAAAAAAAAAAAAAAAAAAAAAAAAAAAAAAAAAAAAAAAAAAAAAAAAAAAAAAAAAAAAAAACCCATCAACCTATCTTTAACATTTAGAAATTGTTATTAAAAATTATGAAAGCTATCTGAAATTAAGAAATTTATTGAACTCTAGTAGTATCTCTACTACTCTAGTAGAATTAGGATTATTTAGATTATTAGATTACAGCAAAGTACTCGAAGGCTTCCCGACTAAACGGAAGGATACCTTCCGGGAAAACTTCATAAGGGAACGGACTCTTACTTAGACTTTGAAAAAAAAAAAAAAAAAAAAACCCAAAGAAATTTCCATACAGCCAGCCTATACGCCGGGATCTGTACCCAGGCCGCCAGTATTCAGCTACTGTTGTGCAGATTATTCAAGAGGATTGCAATATTAGGGCTTTCAGAGATTCTATGTTAAAGTAAATTATACTTATGGAACAAGGAAATATCGTAAAATTATGCTTGCTTAATCATTAAAGGGGAAAATTCAGATCTACCTTCTTAAAAGGACGGATGCCGTTATAGGGTCCTTTCTAAATAAACTTTTCCCAGTTACACACGAGTTAAGCAACAAAAACACCCAAGATAAATTACCCGTATTTAGCGTCTTAGTGAGCGTTCGTAATGAGCTCATCCGCAATTTATGAACGTTCGTGCAAGATTACTAAATTTCCGTCTGCATAATTTACAAACCAAGGTAAAAACATGCAGTTCTCACTTCGAGTATAGGCCCACCAACGGCCGAGCGGTAGAATCGTTGAACATTGATAGTTCGGTCCGGGGTTTGAATCCTGGCGAGCGGGCTGGCTGCATGGGTGTTTTCGGGTCCCCCCCCCCATGTTTCACGTATTATATGAGCCAATCTCCATTAGAATGTCTTCCATGAAGGCATCCCTCCCCTCAGGCAACTAGCCTAGAATTTTTTGCCGTAATGAAATAAAAACCAAACCAAACTCACTTCGAATATCAGTTTTAGGATAGAATTTTTCAGATTTCAACGATATTGTTTGTTCCGCTTTTAAAATAACAAGTCAGCATACAAATTCATTTAACACTCTAAATTTACCTACAGAAACGCTTTTCGTAGTGAACTTACCATAGATCCAAGACCACCCTATTATGAATTTCACCTGAAAGAAAAGTAAATCTTCAATATTTTTGAAAAAGTTAATAAGAAAAATCAAACTTCAGAAAAAAATCTTATAACACGTAATATGAGTTATATGAATGTTTCAAAGTTTCACGACACTCCATTTCAAGGACTAAATGTAAATTTCGCGGTATTACTAAATTTCCAAAATGTAACTCCCAGAAATAAACAGCGTAATGGAAGGCTAAAAGCTTGGCAATTACTTAAGCTTATTATAACAAACATCATTTGGCTTTGAGGGTCAAGTATCAGGAATTAATGATAAGATGGACTACCTTGTCCGTATCATGCAGGTCAGGGTCCAAACAGCCGGCCTTAAAGATCTAGAACAATCTTGGAGCTCAACACTGATACTGACATTGACCCCAATTTGAATACATTCTTCAGACCTCGAAAGTCGAAAAAAGTAAAGTGCAAATTTCGTTGAATACTACGCAATAATTTTATTGGTCAAATTGGAACTTAATTCTAAAAGTATTTTTATTGAAAGTATTTTTATTGAAAGTATACTCTTATGAACAATTTTGTGGTAATATTCTGTATAATATGCAGACATGTAGTGTATGTTAAACATATTTAGATGCAGAGTGACAAACAACAATTATACTTAAAAATACGATTATTATTAGCATTCATAGTGCAGTCCAACAAGAATATATTAGGAACATCTTTGTTTCAATAAGAGTTAAAAATACAGTCAATAAATGAAACAAGGAAGATAGTTAAAACTTGCATCGCAAAGTGCTTCTGGAAAATATGGTATAACTTAATTTTTCAACTTTGTTGGATGCTTTAAATATAGTTCAATTCCTTCTAAACAAGCGTGGTTCCGCGAAAGAAACTATTGTTTTGGCTTGCTAATTCTATCGAAACTTCTTCAAAAGGAAATAACTAATAAAAAACGTTTACCAAATACGAGTGCAAAAAACATACAGGAAAGATATTGAATTAGCTTTTATTTAAAAGCTAAGCAATTCCCAAGCAAAAATGGGTTTGGATAGTGAATATGTTTTTATGCATGATAATGAGCCCAAGCACACAGCCCTAAATACACGGCTCTGGATATTACATAAAATCGCAAAGTTTATGAAATTTCATCCTCAGTCTACCGACCTCAAGCCCATTTAGAATTTATAAAAAACTTCATAAAAATGTAAGATCCAGGCACATTTCGAACAAAAAAATGACTTAGTAACTGCTCTTAAACAAGAATGAAGAGTCCATATCTAACACAGAAACAGCAAATTTGATTGAATCATTGCCAAAGAGACTCGAAACCGTTAATCACACTAAAGCTGGGGTTCTCAACCGGTGGTACGCAAGACAAAAACAGGCGGTACGCAAAGAAGCAAAGTATTTTTAACTAATAAATTCAAAAATTAAACCCCCAACATCCTGATTGAGTGTTTTCTCCAACACTCGTAAATTTATGCGATCTGAGTTTTGTTCAAGAGTGGTCGTGGTAGTAGTACTTTGTAGTGGTGGTACTAAAGGTTTCCAATTTTAGTTTATATGATACGCGTTAGTCAAAAGGTTGAAAACTGCTGCTCTAAAAGATATGCTATAAGGTATTAATTTAAATATATTTATGAAAATATTCAACATTATGTATAAGCTACAAATACTTTTTACACCAAAAGATCATGGATTATTTTTGTTTATTTATGCATGCATTTATTTCATGCAAACTTCACATGGAAATATATTTCATTATACATATTTAATTACTGCTTTGGAATTTATAGTTTTTATCAACGAGGCATTTTTATATCAGAGCACTTACTATACGAATACTTTCTACACTCACTGTATCATTCAAGTACATTCTGTGTTGAAATGGACCAGTTCATATTTAAGAGGTTGTACTTCAACGTTGATGTAGCGAAACCAAAAACTATAAAGGGTGAGCTTCTAATTTAGCAAAACTTTTAAGACAAACATATCCTTCTGCCAAGTTCCACAGCCTTTCTTAAAGTAATTGCAGTTAAATGAAACAGCATTACTGTATTAAGTGTAAGATGTTTAAAAATATTAGCTGTAAATTTTACTTCAGCTTAAAAACATAAGATTCTGATTTTCAAGTTTCTGTTAATATACTAAAAATATTATTAACGCAATACTTTAGACTACTGATCATTATAAGCCATCTATTTCTCGAACTGTTTTCAAACACTAACTAAAATTATTGGAATATAAAGAGAATTATTTAGATTATAGCAAAGCACTCGAGGGCTATCTGATTAAGGGGAGGGATGCGTTCGTAGAAGACATTCTAAGGCAAACTGACTCGTATTCACGTTACACATGAGGAATCACGAAAACGCCCAAGCAACCAACCCGTTCGTTAGGATTCGAACGTTTAAGGGAAATTGGCCGATATTCCCGTTATACCCGCCTCCCATGCAGCCATAGCCTATCGCCGATATTTGAATCTGGGTCGAATAACCAGTGTTAATGATTTTACCACTCGGACAGTGGTCGGCCAATATTAGAATATAATCCCACCCATATTAATGCAGCGATACAGAATTCGATACTTTTTCCCATAAGTTATTTACAGTTCAATTAAAGCAGATAGTCCCACTTTCGAAATAATTAAGCAAAATAAAGCTTTGAAATATCAGATCATTTTAGTAAAAACCGCGGCCTGTGTTTGTGTTTAATGATGTATTGAAAATTTATAAAATTTAGGAAAATCCGGAGCAAGAATAAAGGCCTAAATGAATTTCATTGAAGGTTGCATAAAACCTATACAGATGCGGCTTTAAATCATTTGTAGCATCAGCCACTAATGACTGAATAGGGAAAAACCGCAAAGCAGTGGCTTCTAACTCATTCGAATGGGGATTTTGCAGTTTCTTGCATGGGTAAGGACCCAGTTTCCTTCAGAAAAGTCTTCTACAAAGGCATCCCTTCAGCTGAATTGAAACAATACAACTTGTAATAAAACACTGTATCTTGACTGGCACAAGGAAAACATTTACGTATAATAGGAAATGTTGGGTGTCACGAGTTTACAAATAAATGTATATTGCTTGACAGCATTTCTCAAATATATAAGGTATTTGAAAACGCTCATCAGTCCTATTTTCTTGAATACTGACTTTATATTTACACTTCCGAATTATGAAGTTTTCAAAATGAGGTAGAATTCCATCAGTGAGTAGGAAAACTAATTAAATTTAACTTTTGATGCAAAGGAAATAGCACAAAATGCTCAGTTAAAATATTCATGCTGCTTTACAAAAATTTTTGCATCTTTACCTTCAAAACTCGTTGAGGTATTTGTAATTGCTAAAAATTAATACCAAGTACTATTTTATTCAATACGAAAGACGGTTAAAGGTAAAAACGAATAGATTTCATAATTTAATACAGTTTTCCTAAAAGTGATCTCACACAAACAGGCGTTAAAATAAAGCCATTTATTTCATTCTCTGTTATCTCTGCTAATTTTGCGGCATATTAATGGCCGAGAGCATGAGATCGCTAAACACAGACAGTTCGACCCATGTTCAGATCCCCATGAACTGACTGGCTGCATGGTATTTTTGCCATTTCCCTCATGTATAATGTGAATATGAGCCAGTTTTCCTTAAAAATAACCTCTGCTAAGTGCTCTACCCTTAGGCAAAATGCCTTGGTGTGCTTTGCCATAATTGAAACAATCCAAGAACTTTGCCCATAAAGTAAATAAACCTTTCGTTTTTTACTGGTAGAAAGATAATAATCATTTTATTAATTGGGGTCTTTTTGCTATAGGAAGCCGTATAAGCAGATTTTTCTATTTAGAGTAAGAACGCTGCCATCCACAATGTCAATAAAGTTTTCAGAAAATTAATCTTTTTTTAAGAAATGGTCCATGATCAAAATTTCAGGAAATAAAACTAGTAGCCTCTTTTTCTTTTGGATGACCAATAATTTGCAGAATTTATTAGTAATTTAAGGTAAAACAGGATATTTGTTTTTTCGTGAAAACGATTAAAGTAATTAGATACACAACACGTCATTCAAAAGATAAGAAAAATAAGCTATAAATGGAAAACGTTAAGTACAGGTGACAGGTGAATGCAGGGCTCGGACACCCGGACGGCTTAATAGGACAAATCGGGTGTCGTCCGGTACCCGCACCTATTTAGAACACCACAACCCTGGCGACTTCCTGAAAGGGCTGCATCGGAAATATATTAATGGAGAATATGTGGTATTGACGTGGCCAAACAAGGGCGTGTGCATATATATGCTTCAGTATACAATTAATAAAAAGTTTCATACATAGGTACATTGGTGGTATAGGTACATTGGATACATATGTATATTGGTCTAAGGGGTTAATGAGATAGGCAAACAATAAACACTTATACATTAAAAGAAATGAAACACTGACGCAACTGGCGCAATAATGCAGAAGATGACAATTAATGAATACACGTAATCGTGTGTCATCCTATATGACTACATAAACTACTAGAAATGATATGCATAAACACATACAAATGATGGCGATAAATGAAAACACATAATCATACATTATTCTACTGGACTATACACACATCAATAAAAATGATACATACACACCTATACGTTGACAGAAATGATACACTGAGAATGAAAATTGTATCAGTGTGAACGATGACAATTAAAGGTTACACATATTCGTGTATTACCTTACTTGGCTATACATATATATTAGTACAAATGATACACTTAAAGACTTATACATTAATGGATGGAATGAAATACTGAAAATGGCACTTATACATTATACGATAGATGAAGAATAATGGTAACACGTAATCGTGTATCATCCTAAGTGGCTATACATACAGTAATCGAAATGATACACTTATACATTAATATACATTTACATGTGGAAAGGATAGGGTTGTGGTTAAGCCGAATCACACAAGTCCTGGCCTAATGCTTGCAGTCTGTCCATAATACTTTTGAAGTTTTTTAAGTACCGCTGGTTGGCGAATG